GGCCATTTTATAAACCATAATGTTAGCTAGCTTACTGCTGATATATTTTTCAAGAAAGGGCTCTATGAACCAATTTTAGCAAAACTAATGGTGAGTCCTGTATTTGGGAGGGATGGGGTAAAATAGCACCTCTATTGAATACACCCCCAGTCTTTGAATGGTGCCAAATTTAAAGCAATTCTGACACATAACAATCTGGAGGCAATTCTGGATTGGCCTTCCCAGGGAATAAATTTCTGTATCACAGCCACATGAAATGACCCAGCTTAAATGCTATCTTTTTTTCAAAGGAATGATTACCCACTAAATTTCCTGCTTCATCTATGAACTGTGGCATCTTTGGACATATTTAGCATCTGCTGAACTAAAAACAGCTGTGAAAAGCACTTTGGGCTTTAAGTGTATTAAACATGCTTTGAAGATGGGTCAGGTCAAGAGTGATAGAGCAAAGCTCACAGTGTAGATAATAATAACTCTTATGGATGTTTCAAAATAAGCAGACTACTGTCTTAGAGGTGTTCTTTCTCCATTATGCAATCTAATCTCAGGGTTATTATGCATTAATTATGGAAGCTATTTGCCACTTCTATGATAAGGAATAATTTTCTAACTATTCATACTGGTATTTCAGCGTTACTCAACTTCATTTATTAAAGATATGAAAGCTTTTAAAATAAGTTGGAGTAAGCAATTTAGAATTGTACATATACAGCACCTTTCTGCTATTCTTCAAAGCACACACATATATTTTCAGGTGTTCACATATGCTTGAAGAAGATAGTCTCTAATCAACTTAATCATTTAAGTAGTGCTCTTTAAGATAACTCTTAAAGCTGCTGCAATATTTTTCAGATTTCCGTATATTTTAGTGAATAATCAAGAGGTAATAGATTCATACAATGTACAAAGCATTTCCTTTAAATTATGGCAAACATGCATATGCCCTAATAAATATCAATAACTCATTATTCTGTTTTTAAGCAGCCCTGTCTTACAAATGTCTATATTCAATGGGATTACACAATAATAACCATCCAAATCTAGTTTAGATTGCAACTTCAGAGTTTTGCTCATGCCTCCTGAAACACAATCTTATCTGTTGCAGATAATATACATTTTGTTGCAGAAGAATATGCTACCTATTTCAGTTTTTAGCTCAATACATTACTTAAAATTATAAAACAAATATATGTGCTAGTAAGATCACTTAAGGAAAGTTGAACAAATGTGGTTTACTCAGCCCACACTGCGCTTTTTACAGCTTGGTGAGAAGAACACAAGTTTTATTACTGTATTGCAGAAAAACACAACTAATTGCCTTTTGAATCTAGTGCAAGAATTTCACAATGTTTCCTGTAAAAGTTATTTTCAACAAGAATGAGTTTTATCTACCATTCTACTAGAGATAACACATATATTTCTCACAATGCACCATAATCTGCCTTTTGGGAGCCCATAAAGTTAAATAAGGAGGAAAAACAGCAACAAGGTATGATATATTTAGAATTTATTAGCTTTTCCTATCCAACTTTGTCCTTTACTAAAACCAAAACTTTTTATTCTCAATTTTCCTCTTCTTTAAAGCTTACATTTCCAAGATATAAAGAGGGCAATAATGTATTTACCATAACATTCACAATGAGATTAATTTTGATTGTTTACATTTGTCCCACCCAGTAACTGGAATTCTCTTGGAGATGGTGGTAGGTTAATACCAGAAATTAAGTGAGTAGAATCTGGATTAAAACCAATAAGATGCAGGTTCAAATCCCCATTCTGATATGAAGCTTGTTGACTTGGACTGGCTACTATCTTTGACCTATACCATCTCACTTTGAAGATAAAATATTGTGGGAGAATCATATACCTGCCTTTTGTTCTAGGGAAATTAACTGACCTTTTCATTTTGAAAAGTAGCAATGTTTTTGCCCCATGCTACTCCTTTGTGGCTGTGCTTAGAATCATAGTAAGATATATTGCACAGTTAGTCCTTGACTTACAACAATTCATTTAGTGACCATTCAACGTTACAATGGCACGGAAAAAAGTGATTTATGACCATTTTTCACACTAATGACTCTTGCAGCACCCTCATGGGCATGTGATTTACATTCAGATGCTTGACAACTGGTTCATATTTATGATGGTTGCAATGTCCCAGGGTCATGTAATCACCGTTTACAACCTTTTGTCAAGCAAAGTCAATGGGGAAGCCAGATTCACTTAATAATCATGTTATTAACTCAATAACTCCCATGATTCACTTAACAAATGTGGCAAGAAAAGTTGTAAAATGGGGCAAAACTCACTTAACAAATTTCTCACTTAGCAACATAAATTTTGGGCTCAATTGTGGTCATAAGTTGAGGACTACCTGTATTATCTCAGATTTCATTCCAGAAAAATGAAATAATGACATAGAAATAATTAGTAGGGCTTTCATAAACCTTTCACAATTCCCAGTACAGCAGTATCCTTCTAATGCAGCAATTATAATCTCCTAAAATGGTTGTATAAAAATTATTCTGGCTTATTTTAAAAGCTATTTTCATATGTCAAGAATGATATCCAATTAAAGGAAATCCAACTGAGAATTAACTAAGGTGCACTGTTTGGGAATAAAACCACTCAGTATTTCCCGTCTTTGAGATCCATGCAGGATTTCCTGGCACCTGGATAGGAAATGCAATTAAAAAAACCAAAGTAGCAAGATCCAGATTGGAATGTTTCTAAAACAAATTTTGATTCTTTCCCAAAATGTGTTGCAATTGGCATTGCATTAAAAAAAAATAGTTTAGAGAACTCTCAAATAAGTCAATATATGGTCAGTATATACAGTACCATTTAAAATTCCTTTTTAAAGAATTATTCTTATTGGATTGCTTTTCGGCCAGTTTAGGATAAACACACTAGACCAAGTATAAATGATTATTAAAGTGAATTGTTCAATTTGAGTGAATGTTTTTTGCAGAATCCCCAAAAGGACAATCCTTTATTCTAAAGCAAGTCCAGTTACGTAAAAGCAGAACCAAAATAAGTATACAAGCACTCAACTATAATTTTAGTTTGATATGCTAAAAACTAGAACAATGAGGATCTGCCTCACAAAAATGGCTACATAGTTGATTAAAGATTGTAAAGAATTTGCAGAACAACTTTATCGTCCTTCAATGCTTGTGTTGGTTGTTTGCCATTTACATTGTTTTGCAAAACTGGCATGCATTTCAAATTGAGATCCATCCCATTGCAAATAACTACATATGCCTGGAGGGCAAATTTGACTAAAAGAAAGATCTCTTTCTTCTCAAATCTTGCATAAGAAGCAAGTGGGTACTACTAAACTATAGAGGAGTCTACCAAAAGAATTGTCACATTCCATAGGCCAGTAAAATTCCATTGATGGTTATCTTGTTCCAAGCCATTTTTGAGAAGTGGTATTTATGAAAATAACTTTGCTCAATAAATCAAATATAAAAGCTTTATTTGAAATATAGTCTCCTTATTATGTTCAAAACATGAAAAATGCTTGTCACTGAGAAACTAGATGAAGCATTTCTTTTATTGTTTACGAAGAACACCCTGTAATATTCATAGACATAACTGTTTGTTACATTTACATCCTGATTTTCACTAGGAGCTCAAAATGATTTACACTTTCTGTTCATCCCTGCAACAACCCCACACGGTAAGTTGAGCTGACAGAACAATTGTCCCAAAGTCCTTCAGCAAGTTCTCATCCTATTAAACACTTTAATCATGACCAAAGGGCTGAGGGATGAGATTATGTTGTGAAACACTATTACTGTATGTCTCAAACATCTCAAAACTCCATATATAGAGGCCATGGATTGACTGGGTGAAGTGAGATGACTGAGTGAAATGACCATTCCAATTTTTGGTAACATGGATAAGGGTTGGAAAGCTGCCCTCCATCAGTTACATTAATCTGCCATCCGGTGTGGTGATAGGTGTCCTATTTTTACCCTAGAGCAGTGATGGCGAACCTTTTAGAGACCGAGTGCCCAAACTGCAACCCAAAAATACTTATGCATCCTCAGGTGCCAGGTGGGCGTGGCCCATTGGGTGGGTGTGCCCATTGGGTGGGCGTGGCTGCAGTGGTAACGGCAGACTGGGTGGGACTAAAAAGTTCAATCAATCCATTCCAACTTTGCAAGATTTTTTTTCCCCCAGCGAGAAATTGACTGATTGATTGAACCTTTTTTTTTTTTTGCACACTGCGGCGGAGTCCTATAGCGAAAAGGTTTTATAAAACCCAGCTGAAGGCCTAGGACTGGGGCGATGGCGCACGTGCCCACAGAGAGGGCTCTGAGTGCCGCCTCTGGCACCCGTGCCATAGGTTCGCCACCACTGCCCTAGAGATATAATGGGGAGATGCATATTCTTTCTGAACAGAACTAGGCAAAGTGCTATAACTTCCCCTGCTTGCTCATAATTGGGATTTTCAGGCAGAAGAATCCCTACAATCGAGGGCATTTGCTGCATGCATGGAATTGCATCCATGCAAGTAACAGCTGTCCAACACGTCGAGGCAGCAAGCACACGTCTGTCACGTGTGGGAAATGTATTGTTATTTATTGGGAAGCGTCCTTAAACCCTCCACGTCCGCACGCACCAACGAAAGTCTCCCAAAGCCGGGGCCTCCCGTGCCGGCAGCTGCCCATCGACCCAAGAAGGAAGTAGCAGGGACGCCCCGGACGGAGAGAGAGAAGGAGACTGGAGGTAGGAGCGGAGCAAGTCGTCGGTCGGAGTTCTCGGGCGCTGAGGGCGCGGGAAGGACTAGGTGTGTCGCTGGAACTCCAAGCCTGCGAACTTTCCGCCTTGATTGGCTCACCAGCACAAGCGACTCCCCCGCGGGGCTCGGCAGAAGCCGCGCTGCCTCCAACAGGAGCGGCGCTCCCTCCTCCGCTACCAGACCGCCCCGCTCCTCTCGGCCAGTCAGAGGGCGCAGCCCGAGGCTCAGCCGCCGCCGCCGCCGCATCATGCAGCTGCCGCCGGCTGCCGCTGCTGCCCTCTTGCTCGTCCTGCTGGCTGCGGACTCCTCGCAGAGTGAGTAGTGGGGCTCCTTCCCCGGGCGGCTTTTTCCTCCTCTTCTTTCCCCCTCCCCGAGGAAGGAAACCCCTCTCCGCTGCCCTTCCTCGTAGTCGCGGAGGAGTTCGCCCTCTTCCCCTGAAGGGATGGAGACGCGCATCAAAATAGCCCGAAGCCCACGCGGAGAACGTCGCGTTTGCGTTTCTGTGGGGCCCGCCGACAGCCGCCTTGGCGCTCCCCAGCCTTTGCCTCTTAAAGTCAGGGCGTCCTAAAAGCCCGTCTCCTCCGCGGGCGACCAACCGGCAGCTTCCCGTCCGGGGCACCTGCCTCGTGGCGCTACTTTTCGGCCAAAGGTTCTCGGTCTCCCCGCTCCCAGACCTCTTTTGCCCGGCAGCTTTCCCGCTTTTCTCTTTGCCCGCCCAAGGGTCGGGGGCGACCTTCGTCTCCCTCGCTCTTCGGCTTCGGCAGCTTTTGTTCTTGGCAGCGGGCGGGCGCGGGGATGCCCTTGTTTGCGAGGTAAACGGCGGCGGCGGCATTGTTTGGCTTCTCTTGTGGCGGGCGCGGAAAGGGTGTGGGGGAAGCCGCGGAGCCGAAGATGGAACCCAGAGCCGGAGGGTTTGAAAGCGGTCCGAGGATTTCACGGACGACGGAGTTCGTGACGGGCCCGGAGGACCCTTTGAAAGGGGGGAAATATCCGCGCGCGCTGACCGGAGGGCGAGGGAGGGAGCCGGCGACTTTGCTGGGGAAGCGCGCGGCCGCGTCCTTCTGCCAAGGGAGCCCAGGATTAATGGCTTCCCCCCTCTTCCCCCCCCCCTATTTCTTTTGGGGGCTCCTCCAGCTGTGGTGTTCTACAAAGGCCGGGAGGAGGCTTCCCAGTTCCTTCGCCAGAGGCACCGCCGAGCCTATCAGATCTTCGAGGAGACCAAGCAAGGCCATCTGGAGAGAGAGTGCGTGGAGGAACTCTGCAACCGCGAAGAAGCCCGAGAAGTGTTTGAGAACGACCCCGAGACGGTGAGACAAGTCCAAAAAAGTGTCGGGGATCATTGTTGTTGTTGTTTTTTTTTAAAAAAGGAAGAATAGCGTGAAGTCATCCTAAACTAAGCATCAGAATGGGAATGAGGACGCCAGGTGTTTGCACAGCTGGAGAAGTTGCTTGGATGAACAGTCATTAGATAAATAACTTAAACCACGCCCTTCTCTTGACAAATCCGTTCTATTTGGATTGTGAGGCCGAGCAAACAAGAATAGTGAAATGCTGGGAAGGGAATAGCTTATACGGAGATAAGTCAGGATCCTTCTCCTAGAAAAGATCTCTTGGGTGTCTGGTGTGTGTTTGTGCACGTGCTTTCTTTTGTGGACAAGTTAAATCCTACCGCAGACAAAATACATTTACTGTACTAGATTCAGGGTTATTGGATAACTAAGGAGAACCTGCAATTTACACAGCTCAATTTGAATATTCTTTGGTGCGTGACAGTTCACTGATTTTTTAAATGCTTGCAAGCAAGGTTTTGTTGAATAAATCAGTTGAATAAACAATATAAAGCTATCTTATTTAGAAGAGTATTCAGTATGCTTATTGAATTAGAAAATTATGCTAACTTGGATCAACGATTTTATTGGTTGATAAATGTAAACAGTTTCTGAGTTAATTCATATCAGCAAATGAATACTTTTTAAAAATTACTGTGTTTAGTGAGAGGATAATGTTT